AGATGAATGGGAAATAATAATTAATCAGAAGTAATAGAATACTTAAATAATTAATTAGATAATTAATAGTATACTTAGCAATTAAAAATTTATTAACATTTATTAAAATTAAAATTAATTAATTATTATTTCAAATACAAATTAAATTTGATATATATATATATATATATTATAGAAAACAAGAATAATTATCAAGTTTTATGTACGGTTCTCCAATATATATATTTTTTCTCTTGTGATGAAACTTTTGAGGTTTAAATATGAAATACCAAAAAAGTCCCATAAGACAAATTTTAGATTTATTGTGCACTAGATCGAATATTTTTGGAATAGAGAATGAGAATTTAAGATCTTAATTTTGTACAAAGCTTCATCACATATATAGTTAAAAAAGATAACAAAGTTTTTGAATGACAAACTTAAAAATGGGGAAAAATTATAAGGCATGACATGGTTGAAATACTTCCACTAGTTTATGTCATCATCTGCAAATGATATCCTTTCCCATAATTCAAAAATGTATTGATACAATATAATGAACTATCTTCAAGAGATTGTTTGTGGTACGTTTAATTAGTCTCCTTTGAGGAGAGAAGGCCATAAATTGATAAATTTTGGCCTAGATATTGGTCTTTATATAGGGAGTCAAAGTTGATGTATATGTTGACATTGGTGGCAACTGTGGGTGATGAAGTTGTGGGGGGTGGGGTAGGGTGGTGGCAATAGGCAATGGCACGCGAAAATGTTGGTGATGAAGTTAGCTGATGTCTACGACATACATTATCCTTAAAGGAAATAGCATGAGTTGACATCAATAGTGATGATGAGTGAAGAAATTGGCAAGCATCAATATTGGTTTCCATGAAATACATTAGTCGTATAGACGATGTCGTGTATCAACATTGGTTTAAATGGTGGGTGACAAAATCGACAGGCATTGGTGTTGGTGTTGGTGTGGGTATCGACAGTCGATGACAAGTTGGTGGCATCATCAATGATGTTGAAGACATTCATTAGCTTTATAGATGACGACGTACATCACCATTTTTTGTGACAATGTAAGACAAAGTCAATAGACATCATGTTAGCGTCAATGACATGAATCGACCTTATAGGCAATTGCTTGTGCCAATGTTGGTGTCAATTACAGGCACCATGGCGAGTGTCAATGGTGAGTGATGACATTGGTGGTGATGGCGAGCATGAAGCCAGTGGATATCAATGCTTTTTTTAATGTTTTATGGTAAAACACTCAACCAAATGGAATAAAGTGATCCATTTGATTCTATAGTATTTCTTGAATGTTTTATGTCATTAATGATGTCAAAATTAACCAAAATTGTACTCAATAGATCTGTCTCCAAGATGCTTGATTCAATTATAAGCATGTAAGTTATGAAAATCATTTGATTCTCCAATTAATGCCCTGAGGATTTCATTATGCTTCAAGTGCACAAAATGGGCTCATTCATGTTTGAATTGAATTACTTTTGGTGTTGTTTGGGCTTGTAGACATTTATGTTGAGTATAAATTTGCTAAAATTGTTATTCAAATGATCCTAAATTTATTTCTAATTTTTTTTAATTATAATAAGCACCATGATTCATGTTTGATCAAATGAATTTTCTAATAAAGTGATCAAGATTTATCATAAGAAATTCTGACTGACTTTTATTCTATTATCATTGATATTAAAATAGTATTTTTTTTCTATATTTTAACTATTTGAAGTTGATAATGGCTATTAGAATAATTTTTGTGGTTATATAATTAGCAATATAATAATTTTATAAAATTATAATTTATAACTATTATTATTTTGCCAAATTTTCTAAAAAAAATATATATATTACATACTCATACATACCTTCTCAGATGTCTCACCAATGTTTAACATATTCCAACAGAAGAACTCAAGGACCTAACTGACCCTAATAATGAAGACTGAACTAAGAATGATCACCCTCAACTAAAAGTACCTACCAATTGAAGGACTTGACTCAAATCGACTAAGGCTTCATTTGGGACGATTTTTTTGTTGCTTCTTAAAGCAACTTTATAGTACAAAAATTTTAATAATTGAACTAAAAAGCTGCTTTAAGAAGAAGCAAAAAAGTCGTCCCAAACAAAACCTAAGTAGTATTTGTTTCAAATTCAATATTGAATGAAAGTAATTTTGACTTGTTTTATTATGTTTTTATTTTCACTGTTTTTATATGTGAAAACAAAATAATTGTACCCAAAGAATTGGAGTTTAAGGTTTTATTTGGGGCAATTTTTGTATTGTTTCTTAAAATAATTTTAAAATAATATTTTAAGAAGCAATAAGAAAGTCAAATTAAGCCTAAAACAGTTTATTTAGCTGTTAATCAAATATGATACTCATTACTTTAATTAAAACTCTACATTTCCAAGTAATGTTGCTCATGATTTAAAGAATGACCATGTACACTCTTGCCTCTCTACTGAGTCCTCTTCACCTCCAGAAATCATATTCTGCTCTTTCAAGTTTCAAGCTTCTGTAGTTTAATGATATAATAGTGGCGTATTCAACTTTTAAGCTGGGAATTTGTCATACCCGCACATTTTTATAGAATACAAAGAGGGAAGAACACTTAAATAAATTTAAACGGATAATTGTATTCAAATAAATAAAAAGCCTAGCATCCGCAGTATATCAGCATCACACATCTGGCTGATTCATCGGACTATATTAAACTTGCTCAGCTATCTTTCTTTCTTTGAGACTCGCTCACATGCACTCATTTCTTTACTCGAAGCTCTAGAACAGAGAAATTATTCCGTGCAGAGTCCGGAAGGGAAGAACCGTCCGGATTATTGCATATTTATTGAGTATTTATAAATACTCAATAAATACGTAGCAAATCAGTAAATACTCAATGAATACTCATAATATATTCAATAGTACTCACACCTGAGTATTTGCTGAGTATTTACAAATACGCAGTAAATCCAGACGGTTCTCGTCATCCGGACTCTGCACAAAATAATTTCTCCTAGAACAGAGGCCTCAAGAACAACCATCAATCCATGAGGCGTAGGACCTCAATTATATATCTTTCAGACATAACCAATAAATTAGATACTGCTGAGGCATTTCAATAAATAGACTAAATCAAAAGATTAATTAAAAAAACTGAGCTAAAAAGCATTTTGATGTAACATTCTGGTGAACTTGATACATTCCCTACTGCTTAGGATCTTATTTTAGCAATTAGAGAGAAGTAGTTGACGCAACCAAACTAGAAAACTTTCTGCCCCTTAAGTTATAGCCTAAGCTAACCGTGCACCCTACTGATTTTTCCATCATGATTTAAACAACAGGAGCCTCTCTTGTCAAACGCGCACTAGCTGGAAGCACAGGAAACAAAAGAACCCATATTACCTGTTTTACTCCAAAGAGATGCCCCGTATCATGTTCTATTGTTCTGCTGCAGCTCTAAGAGCATCACCCAAATTCAAACACAAACTACTCGTCATCGTCCTCCTTCCAATAGCTCCATTTCCCTTTCTCATCATTGCAACGAACTCACTGTAATCTATTTGTCCATCCTAAATCAGGATGAAGATCAACAGTAAGAATATGAACTTTTCAATTAAAATTGTGAGACTTCAAAGCATGAAAACTCACGTTGTTTTGATCTATCTCTTTGATCATTTCATCCAGGTGGCCATCATTGAGTCCAAATTCTCGGCAAGCTTCGGAGAGTTCATCAATGGTTATATATCCACTTCTATCTTTATCAAAGTAAGCAAAAGCAGATACCAGGTTCTCTTCCCTCTCCAACTTATTCAAGTGCACCGTAGCAGCAAGAAATTCACCGTAGTCTATCGTACCACTATTGTCTATATCAGCCTGTGATCAGTTCAAAATACAAAAGCTTAGAAAGTAAATAAGGTATTTTGCATGGATATTATGCTACAAAAGTAAGCGTTAAAACTCCTGATCAAATTTACTTACAGCATTCATTAGAGCCTGGATCTCATGCTCAGTCAATTCAGAGCCCACTCTTCTCAAGCCATCTTTTAGTTCATCAAATGTTATTGTACCACTATTATCTGTGTCAATCATCTTGAACAACTCTCTAAGCCCACCAATCTCTTCTTCAGACAATTGCTCTGCTATAACCTGAAAACAAATACGCAATATTCCCGATGGAATGAGGAAGTTTAGTTGTTGAAATGCAGGATGTAAGCATTAAGATAAGCACATTGACATTATGAGTTAGGAAGTTATAGTTGTCTTAATTTCTAGTTTATTTTGATGTTAAATGCCCATGATGATGGAGCTTATGAGAATGGAATGTGTAATGTAGTGTTTTGATTATCTTATTAGGTTTGATTTACTTTTGCATATTGCTTTGATTCAGCTCTTGTCAAATTCTTTTTTACCGTTGGCTTCTAATCCTCATTTTAGCACTTTGAATTTCTGCGCTGCCCATATGTGGTTGCTTGCAAGTTGCAACTATAAACGAGTTTGGTGATTTCCTACAGTAGTAGTTGAAGCGTTTTGTGCTTATGCTGTTACTGTTCTGTTCAGGAGTGGTTGACGGCGTTGAAACAAAAGGACTGAATCCTCAATCACCTTCCTTATTCAGCTGCTTGATATTTTAGGTATTGGCATTGCTATCCAGATCGGCTCCTTCCTTTACACCTACTTCACACAATAGCAGGGACAAAATCCTTGCCATCACTTAGTGTTTCACGGTCTGACGCTATTTCCTTGTTCATTTTTTTATTGTGCATTACTCTTTGATCCTTCTTCATATGACAAACTTCAATTTTCTTACTCTCGGTTTAGTTCTTGATATAAGAATTGAAGATTACTATCTTTATGGAATCTGAAATTGAAACTTCCAATTTTTCTTGTTATCTTTATCATCGAGACTTTGACAAGCTACTTGTTTTGGGCTTTTTTAAGTTATAAATATTAAGTATTAACCCTACAGCATGTAATTTATCATTTAATAGTTCAATAAAATTCATATTTTCTCTCAGATTTCTATGTTTGGTTCGATGCAAAATTTTCAACTGCGGCACAAGAGTTGAAGATGCCTTCCGAGAGATTTTTTCTTCGTACCAACAAATTCCGACCTATGGGAGACATTTTTTCTTGTAGACAATCCATCTCCATCATCAATAAGTTCAACCTAACAATTTAAGGTCAGCTTTAAGAATCCTTACTGTTAATTCAGTCCTGTTAAGTGTGTTGCCTGAACTATTTATTCCTTTCAAATCGGGTTTTAATGATTTCTCTGTCAAAGCATGTTAGGTCTGTAACTTTTCTTTCAATCCATCAATTTATTCTACAAATCTCAATGGTGAACTTTCCATTTCTTATTATGCATATTCAGATCACGTAAGCCTATATTGAAACATCTTACATATAATAGATATCACCTCAACATTCCTTCTGATATAACTATTTATTAATAATCGTTCTTGAATTTGCCATACCTCCATTTAACATTCTCCTTTTTTACTCTGGACTTTTTTTATTTATTTGACCTAAAATTAAATCGATCAGGCCTAAATGCATATTTACAAAATTTACATTTAAGTCTTCATGATACATCTCTTTACCGTATAATGCTCTTGAGGCACATCTCTAGCTTGATCATCAACATAAACTCTAATAGTTATATCCTCATTCTTCAATATAATATTTTCAAGATTGATATGGTACTTACCATCTATGGGGTTCAACTCCACGATCCACATAACACTCATGACACCACAATCCACATTATCTTGTAATTTTATCACTCATTGGCCTACTTTTAACTATGGCTTAACTATAATAAGCAAATCAAATAGCGAAATAATTGAGGTCACATCCAACTGCCTAACAAAATTCTAAAAAAAAAAAAAATTCCTCCCCAAATTCAGCGTCCTCGCAACTGCCCGGATGACGTGATTGCTAGCCCTTAAGTGCACAATATACCATATAGGTAACTCTAGATAAGAATTTCTTGTAGTTATTGCAGCCTAATGTTGGCTCTAAAAGGAGAAAAATAAACATCCATAAAAGCTTAAATGAGCTTAGTGTCAGCTTTGCAAGGAGGAAGCATCATAGCAATAAAAACCTTCATGAGATTACTTTTTTTTTTTTTGGACATTTAAGCCATTTAAGGCAAACTCACACACACAACGCATACACCAAGACTCGAACACAAGACTTCTTAGTTGGAAGCATAAGCTCTCAACTAACAAGTCATGGTGAGCTGTGTATGAGATTCATATGGACGGCATGGCAACACTAATGTGAAGAGTGAACCTAAAGTGGAGCCTAAGATAAGTGCATCAATGTGAAGGTGTTAATGACCCATAACATAAATGAATTTAGGTTTTGTTTGGCTAGATTTGTTTACTTGGAACAGAACATGAATTAGGTCAATTTGTTAATGAGATAAAAAACTCTTGTTCTTGTATAAAACACACACATACATTCATTTTTGGCTTGCTTAATAAACAAGCTGAAAAAACTCATTTGATCCATTCACAATTCAAGTCAAATGCAGAACCAAACATGAGCAATTCACAATCATTAGGATTTTTTTACACCCATAAGTTGATAATGACCACAATGAAGGGTTGGTCTACTCACGATGTCATGAGGCCACCCATGATGATGTTTAAGTTTAGGTCAGCCAAGTGGAGCCCAACCAGGCCATCAACCCAAGGCTAGTGCAAGATGGAAAGGTGCCGAATTATGTCAAGTTCTTAGCCAAACTCACTTGCCCTCAGGAGTAAACGAACAAGTGATCCTCACAACCATGAAAATCTACTTACAACCAGAAGTTGGGTACAGTTTCCTTTGGTTAAACTGAACTAAAACCACTCTCAAGTTATTTGAGGTTTGGAAAAATAATGGAATGTTCCTAGAATCTTTTATTGAAGTTGATTTAAGAAAAAATAACAGCTCAGAGAGAAGTGTAGGTAAATTTTGAGAATTCAATTTGGTATATATAATAATATAATTAACCATGAATTTAGTAGCAATGATGTACATCTGCCAAATAAGTAAACATTATAATCTTGAATCATAAGCAACAATTCTGCTCAATGCCTTAATCAATTCCTAGTATTATTAAGACCATCGATTCATAATTGAAATCAAACAAGCTAATGTCCTACACTTATCAAAAGACAACAGATTGAGAATTTAAATTTCCACATTAATCAGTTTGTGCCCCTTTGATCTAACACATGCTCATCAAGTACCTAGGTATAATATCCTGAACAGTAAAATTTTATGGAATTAAAAGGTAAAACAAAATTTAGAAAACATCTTACGCGTAAAGCCATCTTCTTAAGCTTGTTCATTGCAGAGAACTGCTTCAAGCGTGATAAGACAGCAGAATCTAACGGCCTGTCAGGTGCCACTCTGTCATCAACAATCCATGGATGACCTAGCACAGTACAATGAGCCATAATAATGTCATAGTTGAACTTGCAGCAAATTCACAATAGAATACATTAAATCAAATTCATTGGCATGATTATCATTTTCAGGAACACAAAAGAATGTTGATCAATTACTTACAAAGAACTTGGTGAGCTGTAAATCTCTTTTTTGGATCTCGATTGAGCATATTACGGATCAAGTCTTTAGCACTGTCAGAAATGCTAGGCCATGGTTCAGATTCAAAATCCAGATGCCCTTGTAAAATCTGCTTGAAGATCCCCGCTTCAGTTTCTGAGGTTATCAGAAGGCCCAGTAAAATGTAAATAAGGTGCTAATTCATTTACAAAACTACAATTAATAATCTTGAAATGAAAATACTAAGGGACCTGCCCAAAAAGGTGGAACGCCGCAGAGTAAAATATACAATATCACTCCAGCACTCCACACATCTGCTTCTAGACTATAATATTTACGTAGAACTTCAGGTGCAACATAGTAGGGGCTTCCCACTACATCAGATAGCATTTCACCTGCAAATCATTTGAAAATTTTCTCCATCAAATGACAAGAACTAAATAAGTAAATGGGAGAGCTTTTTCATTTGTAACAAAAAGGAGATCATATATAAATGTAACTGTTAAATCTCAGCCTTCCGTTGCAAAACTGATCCCACAACCAAGAATAGTGATCCGTGGGAAGCCAGCCTGGATCACATTGAATACCTTCCATAACTAGACAACTAATTTAGAAAGGAATGTATTACTCATTATTATGTATTTATTTGAGCATCTTTTATATATCTATAAATAGGGAGCATGTTGCATAATAAAATTCAAGTTTTTTCCTCTCAAACTTACTGTTTTAACAGTAACCAAAAAGAAATTCATAGATAAATCTTGTTGAGAACGTTGAGGTTCATAGCACTACTGCCTTTAAAGATAAAGAAACCCAGCAAAATAGGATAAACATTGAAAAAGCGAAAACAATATCCTAAAGTTTACAGATTCTTTAGTAATCTATACGGTTTGGACAAGAATGAGGCAGACGAACATCCAAACATATATTGTCAAATCATAATAAGTACTAAATAATGATGGAACATAATGTATGCAAACACCACCATCATAGCCGCTGCAGGGGATCACTTGAAAGCCGCACACCACCACCACCTCTAAATATTTTAGGGTATTACTCTCATCTTTATGATGATAACAAATATTTATAAAAAAAAAAAGAAGATGACTAAAATAAATGAAGAAGAAGTAAATTATGAGGCATTGAACTTCATAGGATGAGGTAGGGGAGAGACAATTTTGATATGATGATGACTTAATTAAAAACCCCCTCAATGATAACAGTGCATCTGATTTCTGAGTTGTTACCAACTATTTCAGTTTTCTTTAAAAATTAAATGTAGATGAGTACAAAGCTGAGAAACAAGGAATTAGACGTTGAACTTGAAGCTATATGATACTTTTATACAATTCCTATATTATATGTTGTTATGCTCTTATAATATTTGGATTTCAATTTTATTTCATACTTTTTTTAACTTATCACTTTACGTCTTGTGCATTTTTTTGTTTTATATATATGTCAATTTGTTATTTCATAGTTCAATAGAAAGTTAATATCATCTTTTAATATATTATTTGGATATTATATTAAAATCACTTTTAACATTTATTTTCACTTTACACAATTTTGAATTATGAGGCTTATGCCTCGCCTAATGAACAAAAAAAGTCTCAATACCCAATTGCATAATTTTAAACCTTAGTATGTCTCAATACAATCTTATAAAATTATCTCTTAAATTTGAGGAGTACTTTTCTATCACACAATAAGTTTGATGCATTCCTCCAGTTTAACCATCCAACTTAAATTCTACTAATAATATCCCCAATTATTTCACTATCACTTTGAACAATAGATCAGAGATATCTAAAACACGCACTATTAAATGACTCGATCACCGAATGTCATAATCCACTATTATACTTATCACTACTAAAATTACACTACATGTATTCAGATTTAAATTTACTCTGACAAAAACCTTTAGACTCTAAGGTTGACCTCCATAATTCAACTTTTTCATTAACTCCCTCACTAATCTTATCAACAAGAAGAATATCATCAACAAAAAGCATACATTAAAGTACATCCGCTTGCAAATGTCTAGTAAGAACATCCATGACAAAAGCAAAAAATATATAGGCTTACAGAAAGAAGATCTTTAGTTATTATCATATGAAAAATATTTGTTAATGAAAAGTCAACATAAGAAAGCCTTTTCAGATATAAAGACCATTTTTAAATAGGCAATATAACATCTTAACAAGAAATGAATAAATCTTTCCATTTTTGCCATTTCAAGCTTGATTATATGCATGAACAAATGATTATCTCATACTCTGACGTTCGTCCTTACATGAGAATCGGAGGGGCGCGGTTTTATTCTCTAACAACCAGAGAAGAAAGAGGAAAATACAAATCTAATTTTAATAAATTAGGCAAAAAAATTCCTCTGAATTCTTGAATATTTGTTGAGAGGAACTTCTTCTTCTTTTTCACATATCTTCAGAATGATTCCTCCAAAAATTTTTTGAGATCAACTTCAAATCTCCTTGTTTGTTTTCTAAAAAGAGGATTTGTGATTGTCTGGTATGTCTCTTAGTTTATACTCCATATATTAAATAATGGATTTATCTAATGTCTTCTCGTCCCATGGAGGTAGGTTAGTCTTAACCAAACCACATATAGTTGATATTCTTGACTACTTGTTCATCTTTTATTGTTCCTCGATCATATTTATGTGTGTGGTTCTAATTTTATTTCTTTTAAGCTAATTTGAAAGATCTCTATGACACTACCAAAAAAGTTGTTTGGGGCACTGCTGCTATGATATTATGGTAGCCAAGATAATTAGGGTACATTTGAGCATGTAAGTAGCTAATGAATTATAGTATGGAGGAGGCCCAATGAGGATTGGCCTCTTGGTGAAAAGCTAAATGGGTTTGGAGGCTTCAAAGAATGTTATTAAAAGTGTAGAAGCTTTGAAATGGATTTTGGAGAGGTGGATTTAGGGTAAAAAGTAAGATTAGAGTTAGTCATGTGTGGACAACAACTTGGACAGAAAAATTGTATTTCTAACTTTAGGCCTTTACTGTGACTGATGTGAGTGGTTCAAAGGCTTTGGATGGGCCAAAAGGTTTGTGGAACAACACTAAGTTATGTTTGAGCCAAGTTTGGTCGACCACTTCAAGATGACTTTAGATTAAGGTTTTGTGCAAGAAAAATTATGAAATTTTATGAAGAGATAGATGGATGATAGATCAAGATTCACACAGTAAGAAACAAAGAAAATTGCAATTAGAATAGATAAACTACCACGCACCAAAACAGTAGGTTGAAGAAGGACACCTAGTCTCCTCTTTGCATGGAAAGGCTACCAAGGTTCCAAACCTTTGGAAGAACTCCAAATTTTATTTTCAATCAATAATATTCTAATTCACCCAATAAAATAACACATAAATAGGTCCCTTAAAACCCCAATGCCAAAAAAAAAAAAAAAACTAAAAGGAGGAGATATAGGGGGCCGAATCCCCTTGCTTTGAATTGAGAGAACCCTCCTAGGGCTGCAAACGAACCGAGCCGAGCCGAGCATGTGAGTGTTCATGTTTGTGTTCATTTAATATCAGCTTGTTCAAGTTTGGTTCATGTTTGTTCGAGCTTTATTGTTTGTGTTCATGTTTGGTTCATTTAAATTAATGAGTGTTCATGTTCGGTTCATGTTCAGTTCATGTTCGTTTGTTTAATGTTTATCGAGTTTGTTCGCGAACATATTTAACGAATTTTTTCTAACTATCAAGCAAACATGTTCATGAACATATCTATGAACAAACACATTTATAATAAAAGCAATTCTCTATGTAACAAAGGCAATGATTATTTATATTTATTAATTATATAGTCAAATATTAATTATTTGTATTGAGCTTATTCACGATTTCAAAATCGAACACGAATCGAGCTTAATGTCGAGCTTGTTCACGAACTTCAAATGATGTTGTTCGCGAACATAAATGAGCTGAACACATTAGTGTTCAAGTTTGTTTATTTAAGAATCGAGTATTTAAAATATTGTTCAAATTTGTTTGTTTAGTTAATTAAACGATCACAAACGAGCTTTAATCAAACCGAACAACGAGTAGCTCGTCGAACGTTTGTTTCGCTTGCAGCCCTAAACCCTCCCATTGGCTAGCATTAATGGCATTAAGAGGATTGATTTAATTGCATTTAATTTATTATTAATAATTCTAATAATTATATTAATTGCAATTAAGCAATTCGCCTATGATTTGAAGATTTTTGCTCTTTAGTTTGAAATTTTAAACTCCATTGAATTTAAACTTTTAGATATATTTCCTCCACATATTATCAAGAAAATAAAAAAACACATAAAAATTCTTACAATAGGAAATTACACAAATTAAAATGCTCAAAATCTAAGTAAAAATATAATGTAAGGTTTTCATCATACTCCTATTAACAAGTCCATTTTTCTTCTCAATTTGGTTCCTTGCGATTGGTCTAGTAACTTCTTGTGCTAAATCACAATCTCTTGACCATTTATAAATTCTAATGATTTATTAGTTCATGCAAAAGATTCATGCTATGGAAAAAATAGACTATCGCATAAAACATTCTATAATATAATATATTTGTGGTAAAACTAGGTTCAAGGTTCATCATGAGATGTGAAATGCCATTGTTTTCTTGAAAGGATAGATGTTAATATTTGATGAATATGAATTAATTTTTTATGTTGATAATTTGACATCAGGTGATGTAAGATGAAAGCATCAAGAGATGCTGCTCACTCAAATAGAAGATAAATAAAATATAATATGTTCAAAATTGTAAAGAGAGTAACATTTGAGGATAAAAAGAATGAATCCATAGAAAAAATAGAATATTTGCACCTATTGATGGAGTAGAGAGCTTGTATCATAATGAAGATGGTCTAATAATCAACAAAAAATAGACTTACTATGGTATACATCCTCCAAACTTGAACAGCTTAGAAATTTTTATTATCTAAATATGTCATTTAGATACAAAATTCAAGACAAACTATTTAGCAAGCACTAAACCTTGAAAATTTTATCATTTTCATACCTAGTTTAATTTAATAATTTTATGTTTTATATGCTTCAAAATTATTCCTTATAATTGAAATAAGTTTATTAAGTTAAATATTTGTATTTTAGGAAGTTCCTAAATTGGCAAGTACCTCGAGCATTGGGCCACCACATTGCTTTAAGGCACTTAACTCTTTTTATAATATTAATATTTCAATGTACCTTACCAAAAACAATCAAGCTTCACAAAGAGTGTCACACCCATTCTGTCCAAGCTACTAAATCAAAGTCTTACTTTATAAGTAGTCATGTACCCCTTATAGCTGCGTTTCACATTTATAATGTTTAGGTCTATTTGCTCAGATAGGAATACTTCAAACTACAATGGCGGGTTTGTCAAACATGAAGCTCTCATGGCAGATAATCTAACATAGAAAGATATATCCTGCCCCTTAAAAGGTTGTGTGAGGAGAATGTAGAAGAAAACTTAATATCTTGTAACTCACCAGGAGAAAAAAAAAAAAAGGAAAGGCAAAAGAATATATCTTGCTCACAAAAACAATTATAAAATCCTTGTAGAGAAAAGGAATGACAACTGATTAGTAACGACAACATATTTTGGGAGCAAACATAGACTCCAGTCAAATTAGTAATCATGAGCATTACCATCTACTCAGCTGCAAGTTCAGGCAAAATTATTTCAAGAAAAAGGTAAACCAAATCCATATTCAACACAAATTATACACAGGAAAAAGAGAATGACAGCCACGAAATTTTCTATAAAATATAAAATAAAAAAGCTCTTACAATGTAGGCATGAAATGAAAATGCAGCTTACAAACTGAAATAATCTACGTGGTGACCTGCATTTATCTAAGTTCAAGGCCAAATTGGACCTTAAGAGACACGAATTCTTAATAAAAGGCTAACACATCCAGCCCAAGTTTAGCACTTTTATGCCAACGACAACTAACTTTAATGCAACTCTAGACTTCAGAGACGCTCAACCATTTCGATTGGCTAGTTAGAAAAGCAGTAAATAGACAGCTACAAAGGGTCCTACACAAACAAATGGTCAAACCCGAATCCTCAAAACCAACACAGAAAACTCACAGCATCACAAGCACAAATTAAAAAGCACTCATAAACAAAAAGCCCATCAACGAACCTGGCTTATAGAATACAGAGAGGCCAAAATCCGTTGCCTTAAGCGTTGCATCCTCGTCTGCATTCGAGAACAAAAAATTTTCTGGCTTGAGGTCCCGATGCATCACGCCCAACGAATGACAAGCCTCAACGACCGCAACGATTGTCTTGATGAGCTGCGCAGCCTTCCGCTCGCTGTAATGACCCTTTTGTATAATCCTATCGAACAACTCGCCGCCGGCGCATAACTCCATGACCAAATGCACAAAGAGCAAGTCCTCATACGTCCCCTTGATCCTCACCACATTAGGATGCTCCGATAGATGGTGCATGATCTGGATCTCACGCCAAACATCCTCATAGTCCTCTCTGCAGAGCAGCTTCCGCTTGGGAATCGACTTGCAGGCGTACTCCTTGCCATTGGACTTATCCACGCAAAGGTAAGTAGTACCGAATTGGCCCTGACCAAGCTTCCGACCAATCTTGTAGTGGTCTCGAAGATTCGAGGTCTTGTAAGGGAGAACCGAAGAAGGTTTTGACGAAGATGCAGGAGGTTGGCAAGGAGAAGATTGCTTCATTTGAAGAGAAATATAGGGGTTTAGCTGATTGGAGAATGGTAAACCTTTTTGGCCGGATTAGGTAGTGAAATAGGATTTAGTGTTCGGGGATCTAGGGTTCCAGACCGCATCAGCGAATGGGATAGGTAGTTGTCATTTATAGGAACGAGATCTTGAGAGCAAAGAGAGCTTTAAGAATAGGAATTCATCGCAATATGGTTGAGAAATTGGGAGGAAGGAGAGGAACAGCGAGAAGAAGCAAGAAGAGAGGAGTCAAGACGGAGATGGAGATGGAGACGGAAAATTGCAGAGAAGCGGTCTTGGTCCTCCATTTGGATAGTCCTTATTAGTGTTTGTAAAAAGCTGAAGAAGGTGCAGTGATATTTCTCCTCTTTAGTTTTCTTTATCTAACGTGTGAAAAATGTACATTGCAACTTTGCTTCGCCGAATCCGCCGTCGCGAGGCAAAATTTTGAAAAAGAGCACTATTCGTGTTTTAATTAGCTGTAGAAGCATAATATAAAAATAATTTAAAAAAAGGACAAATTAGGCAAATTGATTGATGCATTCAATAGAATATTAAATTAATAATTAGAGATTGATAATGACAAAGTGTAGAATGATATATGAAAATTTTGAGAAAAAAAGAGAGAGAGAGAGATGGAGAGTAATTTAAAATAATATATAAATATTAAATTAATAATTAAACAAATTGAATTTAAAATACATAATTGAGCAATAAAGGAGCTATCATGGAGAATCATTTCAAATATTTAAGAAGTTGCTTATTGAACAAACTTAGCTCATTTAACCTCCAAATTTATAAAAATTATTCAATTACTAACTTAAACAAATAACAAATATGAACTGAGTATTTATCAAACAGAATTTGAGCTATTCAATAAGTGCATTGGTTCATAAATTTTAAACTACCTAACATTTTAATTAGAGCTTTTTAGAATCAACTACGTGACTATCCAAACTCTATTGATAAATTTATAGTTGAAACAAGTGTCTCGATGAGAAGAATCCAGCAATGTTAAGATTATCTTCTAAAGTTAAAAGGATAATAATGCATATCGTCTTTTATTAACAACTATGTAAATGCTTAATATGACCATTATAGTCAACCATTGTCACCATGAAGGCTGAAGATTATCATCATTACTAAGGTTGATGCTCATCTTCTTAGTCGCCAGTCTCCCCTATAAGTTAGGGCACCATCTGTCTCTTTATGAGATACGACATGTTTCTTTCAAAATTTTCATGTAAAAATCATCAAAGTCCCTCAGAACTACTCTAATTCATCTATCCACATGCGTTTAAAATTTTTGTTCGACGTTAAGACACTAAAATCTCTCACTTATTATGTTATATTCCTACAAACAACCGTAAGATAGTTAAAACTATGACATAACATATATTTTGTAAAAAAAAAAATTGTTAGAGCATAATCAACATACATAATGTTGACAAATTTGATATCTAATAAAACTTAGTTCGTCTTGATTTATTGGTTGGGAGCTATGACTATCAACCAAAATGTCTTGTGTTCGAGTATGTGTATATGATGTGTGTTTGAATTTGTCTTTATTGACTAAAAAATTTCCAAAAAAAAAAATCTCTAATAAAACCAATAGCAAAATTTAACTCTGGATGAAAAAAACTGAAGATTTATTTGGGATAGTTTTCTTACTGTTTTTTTCAAACATAATTTTTTTTATTGTTTTTTAAATTAGTTTTCAGTACAAAATTTTTTTTATATCAAAAAAATATTTTAGAAAAAATAAAAAAATTGTCTCAAATGAAGCCTAAAAAATACATACGTTTTCAAACGCAGCCGATCCATTCTTTTTATTTTTTAAACATGTGGGGAAAAAAAGGCACATTATTGTTTAAAAAAAGAAAGCCCCCTTCAAAGCTTCCTTGGTTGGTTTCTTAAAAGATCTGTGACTAAAAATCGATATTGATCCCAATATGTAAAAGATCTGTGACTTGGCATAAATATGTTTCGCTCTATTTCTCGAACAATTATTACGTCCTCTGACCGGACATAGAGCTACGTTCGGCCGTCAATAACATGCCGTAACATGCTCTTACTATTTACCGCGAGGCCCGACGACTTGACCCGGACCGGAACCCGGAATGCTATGTTCGCGTATTGCGAGGTAATACTCGGTATTGCGAGGTATTGCTTGACAATAACGAGAAATACCACTATGTGAAGACCAATACCGAGCAATACTGAGTTGTACTGAGTTTTTCTAGAAAAAGTAGTTACAACTCGGTATTGCTCGGTATTACTCGGTATTTGCTCGGTATTTGCTCGATATTGGTTATTGCCGAGCAAAATCGACCAATACCTAGCAATACCGAGCAATACCTAGAAAAATCGAAAAATACCAAGCCATCGTGAGTCCGTTCTAGGTCGGGTTGTCGGGGCGCGCGGTAAATAGTGAGAACGCGTGGCGCCATTCAACTGGCAACTGAACGTAGAGCTACGTCATGTGACCGGACCAAATAAAAATTCCTATTTCTCAGAGGAAAATTTTGTCTATGTCAATGATGGTTACATATTGATATCATCACCGATTTTTTGCTGTTCAAAAGAGACTGGTCTCCATACAGAGCACCTCATTTAAGATTGTTATTAAATCAAATTGATCGGTTAGTCAGCTTGAATTCTGACTTTATATACAATTTGTTGATTAAATTAATTTGATGAAGTAATAAGTTATATTTGATTTAACTTTTATATCACTTATTAATTTATAAATTAACTTGTTTAAAAAATATTATCATAAAATGCATGTGAAATATGAAACTCTTAGAATTTTTTGTGGTGATAGAGAAAGAGTTTAACGTCTACATACAGAGCTAAGAGAGGAGTGTAGAAATTGTAAGAGATATTTGAGAGTTTGCGTGGAAAACCTAGGAAATGGAAAAACCACGGAGTCAGACTCAGCTAAAATGATTATGCAATTGCTAGTTATTGATTATAAATGATGTCCTTCCTCAAGAGAATGCATTTGCAAGAGCACATTAGCATGGGAGCCGTCTTAAGAGATCACGTGTTTGTTTGGTCATATATACCTCTTCGAGAAGAGAAGATCAGAGGCAAAGAAATTCAACATAAATTACAATTATGACATTGGGATTTAGGATTTAATGGTAAAATGTGCATTGATCTTATAAGTAATGGCGTGTGTTGGCATCATTAGCGATGGAATGTGATGTAGTTATTAGCCATTAGAGAAACTAGGTCAAAAGATTGTAATGGTGATCCAAGGACCATATTCGGAAGACCGTATTTAGGCGAAGGTAATCGAAGGACTGAAGTCGGGTGATGATGATCGGAGGACCTTGATCAAGCTTTTTAAAAAATCTCAATATATGTTTGGATTGGAAACTTCCAAAATTAAATTTAGACATGCCATTATAAAAAAATCTATAAATAAACCTCACTTTCTACATGAAAATGAGAGGGGGATGAAGGGTCATAGACACCCACAATCTAGAAAACATCCAATAGTCGTTGGACCACCGCCCAACTCCATCATTGAATAATCACAAAATTATCAATGTTGGACCATCATATGAATAAGGTAAGAACACTAGTTGGTCACCATCAGAATCCAATTATGATTTCTGACCATTATTGCCCAAATATAATTCCCGGCCACCACCATATGCTTACTGGTCACCAATCACCATCTCTTGATGATGCTCAGTCGACCAACGTCGTCCAACAACAATCCTCCAATCACCATCATCTGACTATGACTCGTTGACAAATATCATCATACTACAATCCCCTAGCCATTGTAGCCTACTTACAAGTAGCCATGCCTCGTCACATGGTTATGGGTCACAGACCAATGCGCCTAACTACTATCCTCATACAACTATTGTCAGACTATGATATGCTGACATGTATTGCTTGACTACGATCCTCTCACCATCACCCCCCAACTATTATCCTCCGACCACCCTTTCTTGGCTATGGGCCAGCGACTATCATCGTCTGAATATATGTCACGTACACTCCAAGATCCTGATTGGAATAATTATATTTATCTTTAATTTTAACATTTAACTAGAGCTTACCAATGAAAAATATAAAAAAAATATGATTTGTATTTTTGTCATGTTCGGAACCTCATATCATATGATTCTTACAATTTCTAAAAAATATATAAAACTACGTAATGAGTACATAGCCTGACAAATAACTAAAATCTTACAATTGAAATCAATACAAGATAAAAGAGAATACTTTTCTATAAATTATATAAAAATATATATGCATCAATGTCTATACTGATTATCAGTAGTAATTTATCCTTCTATAGTTTATCATATCTCAAAACATTACATCATCAATCACATTATCAATAACAGTCAACAATATTAATACCAGTAACTATATTAATATTATGATAAATAGTGTTAAATAGTGTTAATGATAGAAAATAATATTATTGTCAGTCGCAATATTAATACAATCTTTATAGCAGTGTCAGTATTAGTGTTCATATATTCAATGAGTGTATTTTAAGGGCATATTGCTACTGCACTTATAACTCTCAATCAGTTGCCTCTTATAACTCGTAATCAATGTATCCTTATAATTCTCATTGAATCACGTGAATTAGACGTCTCGACTTCTTATAACTCTCAATCAATCTTCAGCTCCTTATGACTCCAAATCAGTGAATCACATAGATCAGTAGGATATCACTTAGAGTTATCATATCATGTAGTTGATATCATTTAATAATTCATTTAAAATATAATAAAATGATATCAAATCATTTAGAATGATTAAGTCTATAAGATCCAAACTTATACGATGAAAGTTTATGAAATCAGAAAAATCAGACGATAATATGTTTTTAGCAGATTTATAAGAAATATAATTCTTAGAAAATAATATCATAAAAAATAGAAGTAAGAGATTAATCACTTAGAATAAATAAAATAAAATTACAACAGGAATGACTAACAAATATAATCAATGTATGACCAAGATAATATTTTGATGATATATCAAGACCCATGAATCTTTTTAAATTTAAGCTTTATTTAGGATAACTTTTTTATTATTTTTTAAAATAAATTTTTAGTATAAAAATTTTTATTTCAAAAAATTATATATTTAAATAATGCTTTAGAAAGCACGAAGAAAACTTTCTCACATAAAATCTTAATATTTTATGTAAAATAATTATGTCTTTGTGAGCTTATCCTATCTATATGTGCTGGTCCTTACGCAACTATTTGATATAAAATATTCATATAAAAAATATTATATTTTTTATGAGCTTATCCTATATGTGTGGGACTGTGGGACTGTGGGATATTTTTTAAAATAATTTT